AGGAAAAAAAAATGCAGTGAAATGAAATTTAAAAACACTAATAAATAATTTAACAATGACAAGTAATTAAATTAAAAAAAGAAAAATCCAATCTACATACATTATGGTGGTTTGTTACCAACACAGAGAGAAAGGAGCAGAGAATCTACGGTGAAAGGCAGCTGCTTAAGTATGAGAGAGCATAGTCATATTTTTTACAAGTTAAACAAATTGTAACAGACAGCTACAAAATACTACATTTCGATAACATAAATACAGAATATATAAATATACAAGTAATACAGCCATACACAGCTAAAAAATAGGGTGTTCACTTAAAAACAGAGTTCCCAATGCAAAGTATCTGGCAGTCCCTTCACAGTCACTGCTGAGCAGAAACAGGGTGTGCAGAACCAAGGGGACCCAGGCTGCATCCTTGAGGAGGGCAAATAGTTGTTAGTTTATTCAGACAGGCCTCAAATGAGCAAGACCATGCCTAAATCCCATGAAAGCCAAAAGACTTCAGGTACCTGCCAAGAGGTAAGCAAGCGCCCAAGTACCCCCTAATTGGAGAGAACAGACGCCTGAAGCCCTGGCCATGCTGCTGTGGGCTCAGCGGCCGGCTGTCCTGTGCCACTGGGGCAAAGAAGGTGGGCTGGAGATGGACCTGCACACACAGGGAATGTTTGCTGTTCAGAAATGCATCATGTGGTTTGGGCATCGGATTGTGTAAAGCACTGTCCTGAGCACTTCATACCTTGGGTACTGTGGCTCCAGCTCCTGTGGCTTTCATGTGTTTCAGTAGCCTCCCTGTCCTTTCACTGTTGTGACCAAGCTCCAGGCTTGTAAGAACCCTTCCCTTCCTCCTGGATTCTGCTGTTAATTTCTAGTGACTTTTGAGGACAACCAGAATTATTATGACACGGTTCAAAGAGATGCTCTCGCAAACCCCAGCTTGCAGCATCCCTAGCAGCATCACAGAGCCAGGTTCCCTGGGCAGAGGCTTGGGATATACTTCTGATCCTTAAGGAAACGGAAAGGGAGTCCTGAGCACAGTAGGAAGAGGTAAGTGGGTTCACATCATCCCTGGAAGGTTTGCCGGCATGAAGGACCTTCCACATGCAATGACGGCACAGTGAGGTGGCTGAATTGCTGCTGACAGAGTGGCAATGACCCCTTCAAAGAACCTGGTAATACTCATCCGACTTGTGCAGGGTGGGTCTGAAAAATCCACTCAGCAGCCACCATGAGACTAATGTGAGTCGCATCTCAGGCACGGTTAGCAGCAACTGAGCCAAGTGATCTGAATGTTTTTGATGACAGAGTTTAAAGAAGAAAAGGAGATCAAAATGCCTAGGATGGTGTTTCAATCTTAGTGATTGCAACCACCACACTTCACTTACAGTAACATAATTGTCTTCCATGTCATGACTGTGAAACACATTTACCACCAGCCTCTAACTGCTTGCGATACAGGGTTTAATCCATAGTGCTGTGGTACATGGCAGGCTGAGAACAGCAGTGTGTGGTGGGAATCGTCCCTTCGACAGTCAACTGCTGCTGCCCAGCTGACAGCCCGGCAGTGGGATCAAGGACCACACTGCTCAGTAACCATTTCCGAGTGCCAGGAAATCTCTATGTGCCACCGTTACAGATCTGGTAACTGCACAGTAATGACCTCTGAGGAAGCTAGTACCTAGCATATTCATTCTGATCTCACAATTACCTTTTCTAAACATTATTGAGCAAACACTGAAATCTAATCAATCATCTTTTACTTAATTACATCTTGTCACCCCTTTACCTTAACATGTATTCCTTGCTTAGCCAAAACAATATGATTGAAACACTGTAAAGAGCTCACTTGATGCACTTGTATTAGAGAGGGGTTAATTTCCTTGGGAAAATGATCACTGTAAGGTGCATGTAATAAACTGCTGTCATGACCTCTAGCCTTCAAGCTCCCATATGTGCAATCATTGTTTGTGGTTTCCGTGCAAGTGCCAGATGCTAAGAACTTTTGGCAAGAGTTTATCAATTTGACTCACTGTAAGATATTACTGTGATATGGCCCATTAAACATTTTACTTTCACCTGATCAGTGACATTCCCTTGACAATAGAAGAGTAAAGCAGAAATCAAAAAGGTCAGAGGTTGCTATATAATCTTTTACTGCAGGTCCCAGGTTAAAACCACAATGATCACACTCCAGTAGGGTAATTCATTCCACAAAAAAAAGTGACATTTATTTTCCTTTAATGAACTTTGGCCTTTGCCAGATATAATGAGTCCACTGGAAATCATCGGCTATGCAATCCTTCCCTTGACCAGCAGCAACCCACAGTGGCATGGGAAATGTTATGCATGCTGCCATGGGGCTTGACTGTGTCATGCATGTGGCACCAGAGATGGTAGAACATGGGGGAACAAACAGCTAAGGCATCATCATACAACACACCAAGGGAAGAGGAGATGGTATGTACAAGGAATGAAAAAAAAAAAAAAAAAGGTGGCCAACAGTCATCCAAAAAATCAGCAAAAAATTACAGTTACTTCAGCTATAAAATGGGTATCTGATTCGTTCCTTGGAAATGGATCATTTTTTCAACATCCAGCCCAGAAGCAGAGGTAGAGTTGGGACAAAGCAGTTCTCCAAACTGTAGGTCACATTATAGTTCTCATAGAAGTCCCTGTAAACACTAAAAATGCCATTTTGATCCTGCCAGTAATGAAGGATGAAGCAAGGTTATGCCTATGTGTAGAGTCTAGAAACCTGACACGTTTGAGATAGTGAAAATGCTTTCCTATGACTCTAAAGTAGCACAGCAGAAGGGTGGGGAGGAAAATTTGATGAATCCATTGAGATCAGTGGTGACAAATGTTTATAATGTGCCATATGAAATCTGCTTGCCTTCTGTCCTGCAAGCAGTGAGGATCACCTGAGTTCTTTATAGATGTTTGATATCATGCTGAGAGAAAGGAAATTGTTATTTAGTTTGATACACAAGGAAAGGGAAAAATAACTGAAGAGGATGGGTGAGAAAATAAAATTCTTCGAATTTCAAAACATATCACAACCTTCAACTGAAAATCCACACCCCTGTCAGAAAGCGAGAGAATGACTGCTAGCAAAAGCATACGGGTGTGACAGACCCATCTCCCTGGGCATGGCAGCCTGCAGTTTGGGCTGCTGCTGCGGAGGGAGGAGATGGGAACCTGCAGGGAGGGGAGAGTCACCCCAGCATCCTTGCAGAGACATCAGTCCCTTCGCTCACGAAGGGCTGAGTGTGCGGCAGACAGCGGGTCTGCCACCGTGCAGCAGCGGGAAGGGTTTGCCTTGGGTCGGCGCTTTGCTCTCCTGCACTGCACACGCAGTCTTCTGCCCCGGTGCCTTCCTCACCTCCACAGAGTGAAAATGCACACACTTATCCTGCAGATAAAACTTTGCTTTCTCAAGAAACCTCTAACACACCTGGTCCACGTTTCCACACTGCAGGGGAACGTGATCTTATTTTTTCCCTTGGATCTCTTGTCTGATCCTTGCCATCCACCGCTCTGGGACACAAGGAGGACCCTTCTCCGTCAGCAAAGGGGTGGGCAGCTGTCCGAGGGGCTCCCCAGCAGGACCCCCTCGGCCAAGGTGCCCCCGGTGCTCAATGGGGCTGCTCTCTCCCCGGGTGCTGAGGCTGCGGGGACCCTGCTCTGGCCTCCCTCCCCCATGACAGAAGTCCCCGAGGGTCCCACGCTCCTGCAGAAGGTGCTGAGCACCACGGGAGACTTTGCAGCACTGGCCTGGTACCAGTCCTCAGCCTGGAGGAGTCAGATTAACCGACGCTTTGGACTTGTTTTTGGCTGTTATGGTCAATATATTAAAGGTATTTATTTAAGAAAGTGCCTATCCTGCCAATCTTTCCCCATGAGCTCTATTTTGAACACACCCTGTAATTACTGATATTACCCTGGCAAATTTTCCCCATGAAGTTTTCTCCACTAAGAGCCATGACCGTACTTGTCTGCCTCTCCACATTATAATTATCACCAGGCAATATTTATAACTATACTATTATTATTTATGATATTTTATGCCCTATGAAAACCTATATGACATATGCTCAAACTTCAGCATCTGAGACATTCAGAATTCAGCTGGGACATTAGCTTCAATTTGTGTACTTGTTCTTCTTACATTTGCACTAATAGGTTAGTCAGAGTATTTATTGTAAATACAGGAGTCTCGTCAGTGCGAAAACTGCAGGACTTGGGTTAGACTCCAGCTCAACATATCTAAACTTCCCATTGTGATCTCTTTCATACATTTTCTTCCCCAGTTGGTGCGCATTTCAGGACTTCTGATGGTTCAGGCTAGAACTGTATTTCATAAATTCTTACTGAGGCAAGATGATTAACTAAAGGAGTGCTTAATTATTCCAGATGGACAACGGAGCATAGCACATTTAAGCCTCATGCAAAACATAAATAAACAGAACAGAATGAACAACACATGTTTGCCAATCATGGTCTAGACTTGAAATTTGGCACTGCAACACTTACAAACAAATTTAAATGTTTTATTCTCACAAAAAAAAAAGGTTAAATAAAACTCTGTCTTGTAAGCACCTTTAGTTTTAATTATTTAAGATCAATACTAACCTAAACGCCTCTGTCCCTAACATGCATCTCCTCTCCAGGGTCATAGACCTTTCTTATTATGAAACCACTGGCTTTCTCCAGAAATATTACTGCTAACCAGTTTCCTCAGTACCATATGCATAAGGGTTATAAACTAATGAGCAGATCTAGGTTATGTAGAAAAAGTGTAGAAAGGAAACAAATGTTGAACGTCACATTTACATTAACTTCTCACAGTTCAAATGGCAATTTATCCACAACATAGTATGAATCATGCAGTAAGAAAAGGGAGGAATCTCCAGTTTCTTTGATTTATTTGTCATATGGTCGACTGATGTCAGTATCAGTGGCTTTTAAAAAAAAAAAAGTTTAAACATCCAAAAGAAAGGAAGAGAGAAAGGAGGAAAAGGTCTAGCTTTCCGCAAAATCCATTTCCTTTACAACGATGAGCTCAAACCAAACCAAACCAAAGGCTGCTGACGAGCAAGGTCTTCCGTTCCTTCCATGCTTGTCTCGTGGTCTGGTGCAAGCTGGGAATCAAGGGTATGGGACTGGTGGATGCGTTTTGTTTGTATATATATGTATGTATGTAGGTAGGTAGATATTAATATATATATACATACATACACATATATGGACACAGATACAGTCTTCCTAAAAATGCTCTTTGCAGTCCAGAGGCAGCAGGAGTCACTGTGAAGGAAGAGCTGGGCAACATATGGCTGTAGAGTCTGCACTGGAAAAAGTCACTGGCTAAATATACGCCGGCTGTTTGTTTTCTTTTATTTTCATGAGGCGAAATATGAGCTCTGCATAGAGTACAGCCTGTCAATGGGGTTTCCTACTCTAGCCTGCATGGAGTTAACTTCGGAAGAGGCAAGAAAACAGTCGCTCAAGCTAGTTAAAGAGGTATCACTGTCGATATCATGAAAAATGGAGTCGTTTCCTGCAAATGAAACGTATATGTTAAGCTGGAATCTGTGCAGCCAGAGGAGGACACAGTACACATGGATGCTATATGTTGCACGCTGCAGCAAAAGGGAACGCTCCTGGTTTTGTTTTTACACGTTAATGTCATTTTGCTCTAAGGGTCTGACCTACAAACAGTAAGGCTAGCAACCAATTTACAGAGTTCATCTGGATTCAGCAGTGTCACTCAAATCTGCCATGATTTAATTTATACTTCAGTCAGCAGCACCAAAGAGAATCTTGGCTGATGATGGGAGCAAACGGTTTAGGGAGGATCAGGTCCCCGGCTCTCCGTGAGCTGGGATCCGGCATTCATGGGGGCACTGGGGCCGCCGAGGAAGGTGGGATCAGACATCGAGTGCCCACAACAGGGAAAAGCAGTCTGAGAGCCATAACCAGTAATGGTCTTCCTTTACACACAAGGTAAAAGACAGATCTATGAATGTGATGGGACCCAGGAGGAGACCCAGCTTCCCTGGCCTCAAGTGAGCTACAGTTGTAAACATGCTTTCATTTCAGAAAATTCCACTCTTTTTGGGTTGGTTTGGAACAACACTTTTTATTTCCCTTAGCAACTAAGATTTCAGCTTACTTCAGCTCTTAAGGTACCAGAAAGAGCTCTAGCTCAAGTCCTGCAAGCACTAAAAAAGTGTCAGTTAGGCTCTTTTTCCTCATGCACTCATTTGAAATGGCTTTGTGCTATCTCCTGCACTCATTTTGGAGCACAGAACCTGCCTCTCAAGGAGTTTTGCTTAGAAAGGCAAGCAAATTGTTAGCAACAAAATCACAAGCCATCTAACCCTCACTGGCACTTCAGATGTCCACAGCTTCTTACAGGATTTACCAAATTGCCTGCTGTGTACCGTGGACTTGTCTCAGTGGGAAAAGCAGTAACACAGACCCAAAGCAGATTTCTTGTTGGTCTGTGCATGCCATGCTCATGAAAGTGATGAGCACAGGGACCTCCACAATGAAGTGCTCCTGACGTAACAGGCGCTTGTGGGCTACAGCAAGGCCAATAATCAGAGTCTGAGAAATCCTCTTAAATTTTATTTAAATGCCACACTGTAATTGTCCAGAATCAATTATTAGGCATTTAATGCTTGTGATGCATTTGGTGTACCTATCCACTTGATGGTGTGTGGTCAGGAAATTGTGAAAGCAAACCATGATCTTGATTTTGGGCAGAGAATAAAAATTATGCAGGAGAAATGTCCTGGGGTGACACATCTTTTAGTAGCTCAAGAACTGTTCTTTAACAAATCCATGCATCCAATCTGAGGGATCTTACAGGGGTGCTTATTCATTTTGGAATTAATAGATTACTTCTCTTTATTGAAGGCACTTTTTTCCCAAAGCTTCTAAGAAAAAGGAAAAACTTGTGAGGGAGCTAAAATTTAGTACTGTTTATTTTTTAATGTCTTGGATAGTGGTTTAAAGAAGTGGAGTTGGAGAGGTGATGTTGCTTGGTTTATAAGTTATCAGAATTATACTGTGAAATAGTTCTGAAGGGTGTCCAGAGCCTGGGATGAGCTCTCTTCTACCCCCTTACGTGTACATGAATACATACACAAAAAACGGAGTGGTACAAATTCCCTGGTACAAATCCCAGAAAAAATATTTTAACAGCAAGTAACTCTACTGAACCCGTGGTGTGTGAACTAGCATACGAACTCTGCTATTTCTGATGCGGCAGAATGATGCATGCCTTACCATAAGGGTTCATGTGGTCGCCTGGCATTTGTGGAGGGGTAAGACCCTGCTGAAATGGGTCTGTGCCATAACTGCTTTGATCCATTGCTACAATCTGCTGCTGTGGTGCTGCAAGTGGCGTGTAAGATGTCATCATCCCTTCCATTCGGTTGGACATTACTTCTGCAAAGCAAACAGGAGTGCACAGTCACTGCTTAGGAACAAAGAGGCAGCAGACAGTAGCAGCAGTGGCAATACTGAACCCAAGCGCAGAGTGAACGCAGCTAGGTGTGCCCTGTCATTCAGAGGAACCTTCCAAATTTTGTCTGAGAGTACAACCCTGAGTTGAAAGACTTGTAATTTCTGACTGTATCAGTTCTGGAGCTCCCGGGTGCTGGACTGTATCTTCCCAAAGTCTGTCCTGTGCCAGTACCAGTTTTTCTGGCTCTGCGTAAAGAGGAAGATCTGAGGCTGCAAGGCCTTGGGAGTTGAAGAACCTCAAGAGCATCCACGGAGCAGCAGGGCAAGCCCTGGTGCCTCTGTGCAGCTCCTACCCCAGGGTCCAGCCAGCCCCCCAGGGCACAACCCTGTGCCTTGGCTGTGGCAGCAGTGCCAATGCCCCTGCAAGCAGCCTGCAGATGCCCAGCTGAGCATGGTCCCCCTTTCCTCAGGAGGAAACAAACCAGAGGATCTACCTGGACCGAGGTTCCTGGAGATTTCCTCCAGTGAAAGCGCCTCTGTACTGCACATTTCTTCTACAAAGGAGGTAACAGCTTCCGTGTAAGCACCTCCAGGGTTTGGCCCCATGGGAGGACTCTGGGATAGCCTGGGGTGGGCACTCAGACATGGCACCTCTGTGTGTTTCCACTGATGAGCGCACACATTATCCACAGGCTTGTAAATGCCCTGTATGGCTGTACTTAAGACATTATATGGAATGGCATTTCAAGAAACCTTGCAGATTCTTTTCCCCTTGCTTTGCCTTCGTCACAAATCCCCTACCTTGCCCTAGTCGCTGCGAGTTTTGTTGCTCCTGCTGCTGCTGATGCCTTCGTGCTAGTTTTTTCATCTGAATAAAAGAGGAAGAATAGAACAATCTCATGGTTCCGAATGCAACAATTCTGTTTCCTTACAAAACTCTCTGCAAACATCGAACCAATTAATAAAGGCCATTTATATTCACGCACACAGCACTGTGGGTTCAGTTCCATTTCTAAGCTTAAACATTTCAGTTTCCAGTTCATATCTGCATGCAAAATTTACTCCTAACCTCATGTTGCTTTGAGCACACGAACTTAATGTCTAGGTTTGAAAAATGCCTTTCTTGTATGGATGTAGACAGCAGCGCATGCAAAATACATACAGTTCAGTCCCTGGGATCTCTGTGATGTGTACTACATCTAGGGAAGGGGGAAATCTGTGTTGGAGGACAACTTGTGTTTTACTTTGGAGAACCTGACAAACAACCTACCTTTGCTCTTTGGTTTTGAAACCAGACCTGGACAACTCGCACACTGAGTCCTGTTTCAGCTGCTAGTGTTTCTCTGACCTACAGGAGGAAATGTTTAATGATGTCATTTTTTATGTTTTTGTTTTTTTTTTAAAAAAAAAACCTAATCAGTTATGTTAGGAGGAATATGCCTGTACTTACAATAAAAATTGCCTGTACGGAATTACTTTTTAAAATTCCCCATATTTTTGCACAGTTTGTTCAAGTTCTGCCCTTCATGTCGCTACCAGTTTCCTAAGTACTGAACAAATAGTCTGAGCTGTGTAAAATGACACTAAGTCATTTAACAATTTTTATTTCACCCATAAAACAGTTTGTGCAAAGAGATACAAATTTGGCGTGAACATTTTTCATACCATTGAGGTAAAATTTCATACTTTAAGAGGGCAAAAAGGCACATTGCACTGTCCCAAAAGACATATTTTGTACATCAGCAGGAGAACATCACTTTTTGCAAAAATGACAGCTTTCAGGGTGATGCAACTCCATTTTTTCCAACCAAACTTAGGAGGAAACAGTTACCTGGGTTGCTTTCGCAAAGCTTCACCAGCTTCATCAGTGAAGCGATACGTTATACCTTTCCCTAGCTGCTATAAATAAGATCAACAGCAGGGTTAAGTTTCATAAAAAGGCAAGACTGGAAGGACAAGTAGTGGGACCAAAGCTGAGCACCCATCTCATTAGATAGTGACTTCCCCCGTGGTGGGAAGTAGAAGGGCAAAAACCACTTGTTGACCTGCGCTCTGATAGTCAAGGCCTATTTCATGTTTTGTAAGAATCAAATATTGTTGTTCAGCAGCAATCAGTCGTGAAGCTACTCTGCATACTGTGGGTGAATATCCAGAAATAACAATGAGCTGGTTGGTCCTCTCTCCAGACTGAGATGGTACTTAGGAGAGCATTGCCGTATGCTGACCTGGTCTTTGTATTCACCCCAAGGCAATGCGCTCCTGTCCCGGGAAGGGGCAGGGGGCTATCTCTGGAGCTGTGGCCTGACTCTGTCACCTCCGTGGCCTGGTGTCAGAGCTGACTTCAGGTCCCTGATGAAGCACCTACCTTCCTACAGGGCTTGGAAGACACTTCAAAGGATGCTTTGAATGCTCGTCTCTGCTGTGTAGTAAGTATTGTCCTTGGTCGTTTAGGTCTTCTTGGGTCCTTCCCATCATCACTTCCTTTTCCTTGGGTTACTTGTCCTTTGGTGGGCTTAACATCTCCATCTTCATCATCGCTTTTAACTGGCGAAAAATAAACATGATATAAAATCGTTCTTGTTCCACCAAGACAACAAGGTGCTTGAGAACTGCTCTTCAGCTGCCAAACTAGTCAACAGGTTCAACTATTATCACATGTTTATTTGAACACCTAAAGCAACTGCAGGCAGGAAAATACTATCTTAGATTTGTGTGCACTGCCTAAATCAAATGCCACAAAAGCACAAAAATGTGTTTCAATTTTTAATTGAGGGCATGAGACTGATCAGAGGATGGAAATTCAGAATATGCTTCAATATTTACAGGAATTGAGCACAGAGAGACTTTGTGCCCTTCCAGCATTGCTTGGTCCCCTATGTGCTCACCTGTGCTGCAACCACACCAACTGATACACACCTTTCCCTTCACAGCAGAGCCACATCTTCTCCCAAAGCATTAGCTGCAGACAAGTACTACTGCCCACACCGCTATGGCAGCAAAAACAGTGTAAATCCAAATACCACAAAAATATCTCAAAGTCTGTTTAGCTAAATATAGTGTAGATTCCAGCTATTGCTCTGAATATTTTGAAGCTCTAGACATAATATTAAATATAATCTTTGTCATCTCATTTCTGTATCCACACAAAACATCAGTATTCCTTCTCTGTGCATTACAATGGGCCTATATGCGCATGCACAAATTTCTCTTTCTTGGTAAATACATACAAGTATATATGTGCTTGTGTAGACCAAATAGATTACTTGTATTTTCTACAGTTAAATTCTGAATGTTTGTACAATCTGGTGATATTACATGTGTTAGTACATTGTACTGGGAAATCTCAATCGGAGTGGCAAGGATTGAAGAGTAAGTACAAATCTTGTTGTGAAAAACAACTTTTTAACTCAGCATATTTTATTTCACCAGACTACTGATTTTTCTTCTAGAAAACACTAACATACTGTTATAGGGACTTCAACATGAAGAAACACACTGCAATTCTTATATACTCAGAGATTATGTTTGGGGAATTAACAAATTGGACTTTAATTCATTTTAGGGTCTGATTATTATGCACCTAGCAATCTAATCACCTTTTACTTTAATAAGCATCTTTGGCCTAATGATTAAAGAGAAGTTCAGTCATTTTAATAACCATGACATTATTAACTTTCCAGCATGCCATTTCTAAGGAAAGGCTTGTGAGGATTAATATTGCTCATTGGAGAGTTACTTTTGTGTCCAGTGGATAAATATTTGATTGGAGAAGGACACATTCTCAGCCAGGGCTATGTGAAATCATTCGCTCTCACACAGGCATCTGGGAGACCTGGGTTTTCAATGTATTAGACGACGGGAGACAAAACATCCCATTTAATTTGTCAACTTGTTTTTCAGGTTTGGGTTCGGCTAACAGAGAATAATGAGGGTGAAAAAAAGCATCTCTAGGAGTAAGAAACTACCACTTGTGCCAAGGGGAAATGAAATTGAAACCAAGGTTGTTCTGTGCCACTGTGGTAGCTTACTGCTGATCACAAACCAGAAAATCTGGTCCTGAAGGAGAGCCCACCCGTGCCCAAAGCAGATCTCAAATGCAGCTGCCTGTGCTTGTGTGGTGAGTGAGGAAGGCAGGGGAGGAAGATCCCCATGCCCATTGCTGCAGCATGGGGACAGCCCCGCACACACTGCTTTTCAAAGGGGGGCTGTCTGGACACAGGCGGATGCTGAAGTTGGCGATGAGAAGGACATGCTGAAGGGCAAGTAGGAAACTCGCATGCCTCAGGCAAATTCACAAAGAGCCCCAAACCCTCTGGCATGAGATTTACAGAGCAGAGCACTCCAGATCCTGCAAAAACAGTAGGGCAATAAATAACATGCTGCTCCAAGAAAGGTCCCGGTCCTGCACGTCCTGCTGAGTCAGCAGTGACCTTTGTCTTGCGGCATTCAAAAAAAAAAATATAAATTTCAGCAATGTGGAGAATATGGCTCTCAGATTAGAGATTAAGGATAATTACTGCTCCTAGCTAAATTGGAACAATGCATTTGCCCATAAACCAGAGGCAAACATTCACGTCATTTGTACGCCTAATGGAATGGTAATTGTTGATTTTCTTAGACATTTTCTTGGGAAACAAGTGCGCAATTACAATGGCTGGCAGCCATTTGTGTACAAACTGTCTCTAATCTTGGGACCAGCGAGGGCACACCGGCAGCAGGAGGTTTCCAGTCTCCTTGAGTGTACGTGGCACAGGAAGGAGGCATCCTGCCTCTCCTGGAACTGCCTGTGAGCCTGAAAGTCAGTCCTCACTGTAACCACCGCTAGGTCCCCTGGGTTTTGGGCTGGAGAACCCAAATCCAGTGTGTGAACTATTTGTCCTGTGCAGTACTGTATTCCCAGCCCTGGACAGACAGCAAGCGGATTTTGTTCGCTCTCTTTTAAAACCTTCCCTGGGGAACAGGTGGAGGAAAGGAAGCATCTGTCTCTCCATCACCACGAAGAACTCGGGGAAGACACTCATCAGCTGCTATCAGGTGTGAGGGCTCCACTGTACTCTTTAGGAGAAGACAAAATCTCTGGTAACAGTATGGTGATCCTCTGCCTTATCTCCCAGGCCAAGTGGTGCAGACTCTTGCAATCACACTGTTCAAACCCCAGGCCCCTCTGAAGAGAGAGGTCACACTGCAGATTAGTAGTCATGCATTTTAGTAAGACACCGAGCCTGTCATCCCTTGATCCTAAACAGTTTGCATTCATCAGGAATGGCACAGGACCTCAAGGACACTCTTGGAGATCTGGAACAGGTGAACTTTGTATGCCTCACTTCTGTACTATATGTAGCATTAAAACCATAGTGCAGCTATCCTTGGGTCAACACACAGACGATCTCCTAGGCTGACATCAGAATGGGGCTCAGACACAAAACAGCAGGTAGACAACAGAGATGATCAGAAACTAGAGCCTTAGTAGCACAGAAGACACATACAGGGAGAAGTCACAATGGAAGTCAGGAGAGGTAAGCATTGTAGCTGGCTTGAAAACATCCAGAGACAGACTCCCCTAAGCACCTCGTTCAAGTTATTGCTTTTTATTTTTCTTTTGGTGCAAGCCCCCTTGCTTGCCTAATGGGAGTGGATACGCAGGCAGCCTCGCCAAGCGGGCAGCCGCCCTGGCTTCCTGCACCGCACACGCTATTGCTGCGGCACAAACCCACTTCTTGGTTTCTTTCTGATTCTCCTCAGTACTTCTGTGTTGTACTTGTAGTTTTTCTTAAAGTTACCATTTGCAATTGGCAGAGAGAATACTCTTGAAAGTATATTACTGCTTTGCCCATTTTCCTAGCTCAGTGCTGAAAGTGTATATGCAGAAGATCCCTTAAAAAAATATATTAAGTGTATGGAAGAATGTCTGTGGAAAACCGCACACTTTGAATGAGGCCTCAGGTAACCAAAGTCAGTTTGATTCAGATTTTGTGATCTTACAGACAAATACTTTGACAAAAACAAAAAGATTTTGTCCTTTACTAAGCAGCAAGTTAAGGGAGTCAAGTTAGGGAGAATAGACTGCAAGTAGGGAGTTTTTTTAGTTGTGCCCCCTAATTTGCATAGGTGGCATGTGCATATAGATAAAGCGGATGTGAAAATGGATATACTTTTCTGTAAGAAAGCTTCACAAACCCTTGCGGCTTTTCCAGTCGGAGCAGGTGTGGGAAGCTCACCTGAGTCTGAGTCGTCTGGGCTGACTGAGCTCAACAAGTCTTTCTCTTTCTCATAGTCACTTTTGCAGAGCAACTGCCCTTCCTTAAGAACAAATTCGTCCCCTTTCCTCAGCTGTCGTTCGCAAACGCAGCAGCAGAAGCAGCTTAAGTGGTAAACACACTCCAGGGCTCTCATCACGAATTCTGTTGGGGCAATCTTTTCCATGCAGCCACTGCACTTAGCAGCAAACAGCCTGTAAGAGAGAGAGGCAGTAAAGTCAAAGGGAACGTCAGATGATACACTGCATGAATTTAGATACAGCAAATTCTTTAATTTAACTACAGATCAGCTTGGCCCATGCTTTTGCACACTGTGAGACTTGCATTCTTAGTCTCGGAAACATCACAGGCATGCAATTTATTCAAATCTCAATCCCTTTGGTCTAGAGATTCCCAAATCACCTTTGCTGGGTAAGAAATACTAAGATTTGTCCTTATCTCACTGTTTTGTTCCTCTTCAAAATGAGAAACAAAAAGGAGCTCTCAGAATTTGGATAACTTGTTCAAAACTAAATTTATTTCAATTTGCCTTTTAGAGGAAGGACCAATTCAGGCTCTGTTTTATACAGGCTCCTTGGTTTCAGCACTTAAACCCTATTCTGAATAGATTTCATGACTTTCCATCTTTGGTATTGTCTGTCTCTGAGGAGGCTGACAAATGAACACAGAAACAAGCATGAAAACTCAGCACTATTGCTGAGGAGAAGACGACGCACACACATGCGATCGCACACATGCAACTGATAAAGAGAGGAGTGAAATAACATGGCCTTTCTTTGGATGTTGAGTTATTCCAGAACAACCTGTCTCTGAAAGCGAGTACTGTGCATTTTAAATGGTGTGAAACATCTTTTGCAGGGATAGGCAGTGATACAATCTGCTAAATTACCACTATAATCACAGGCTCTAGAATATACACTGTATTCCAGACTGGTTCTTATTAAACCTTTATAAACCCCGTCTTTCATCCATCACTAATTTTCTAAGATAAAGTTAGAATGATTTAGATTAATTTTATTTTGGTTTTCTAATAGCAACCAGGAATCTCCCTAAATGAGCTTTTAGGAAGAGGGCTGCATCAAATAAAGACGAATAGCTGAGTTACGTCCCTGTATCACACAGTGGGCTTGGTGATTTAAAATTCAGTGTCTTTTATGGCAATACATCAAAGTGCAAGGTGCATTAACATTTACATTTCGGCAATGAAATTAACACAACTGCTCCCATGTGTTCACGGGAGAAAAAGGAGATTCCGCCTTTTAGGATGGGGTACACTGATTTTTTTTTTTCATCCTCAAAATTATCACCTTTTATAAAAAAGGCAATTATCCTCAATTTTAGAAGGCACAGGCTGTGGTAGTTACTGATTGCTCCAAAGCCTCCATTTTGTCTGAGCTGAGAAGTACAGCAAAATGGCAGTCACTAGCTCCTCAGCAAAATTATGGAGTCACAGAATGGGCAGGAGGTGAAAGAAAATGTAAATATATTTGCACACAGCATCCAAAGAAAGGCTGACTGCCCAAGAACTTGGGGTTTTCCCCATCTGTATCTTTTGATCTAATAAGAGATCTACACTATTAACCTTGCTGGCTTGGTGTGTACCTTTGCACGACCACAACAGCCACAAGGTAACAGCTGTGCATTGTACAAGCCACGCAAGGTGGACTGAGTGGCTCTTTTTTCGGTACATAATGAATTAAATCTATTAAAGGGAAACTGATGCCACAGAGGACCCACGGGCACTGCTAGTAAACAGGCTATCTTATTTCATATAGTCTACTGGGTTTGTCTGCAAGGTTTTTTCCTACGATGCTTTAGCTAGCAAATTCCTAAGCAGGAAATATTTTTATCTATACACAATAACATATCTGAAAGGATTAAAACACAAAGGGAAAAAAAGAGCAAGCCGATGTCAGGCACTTAAAAAAGTTGTTTCTATTTAACTGCTTAAACCTATCTGACTCAGTTTAATTAAGCTTGTATCTTTTGTCTGAAGACTGTTGTTACGATGGAGCACACTTAAAGACTCTGAAGATTACCAGACCTGGTGTGAAGGCATCCGGCTTCCCTAACTGGCATCAGCTCATTTATACCACCGCGACAGTTAACCTGCGTACGCTTCAGTAAAATTCAATCAATGGCTATCGGGAGGGATGGGACAGACCCGACGTGTGGTACCAGCTCTGAGGGCTGCAGATGTAACAGCCAGACCGGGAAAAGCGGCTGGTGGCGCTTCTTGCCT